ACCATGACTCTGCCGTCTGAAGGCCCAGCTCTGCATTTTGTTCTAAATCACCAGCTCTCGTTCTCTCTCTCGTTCTCTCGCTCGCTCGCTCTCCGTGACTTTGCACGTCCCTCCAGTCCAACGACTTCCTCTTCCGGGTAGAAGGGAGTGGTGAGGGGTTAGGAGGACGCCCTGTGTTCGGAATACCCCCATTCAGTCGGACATGCCACACTCGCCCCTCTCCCCCTTCCCTCTCTTCCCTTCCTCAGGGTGCTCTCGATGCGGTAGTCAGCCCCCGACCCAGCTGCTTAATAGGATGCTATGTCAGTGCTATGTTAATTGCTGGTTTAACAGGTGGTGCCAACAGCACAGGTACCATGAGAACACTGTTTCCAAATGAGACAAAGAAACATTTAAAAAACAAAACAAAGCTTTGTTTTCTATTATCTATCTCTACCACGCGTTTACTTTGAGAAGATGCGTTATTTTGCCCGTTCCATGCCCCAGTAAAAGTAATAAGTGGAATATGTGCACTCATAGTTCAGTAAGAATAAGATCATGGTTTTGCACATAACACGGTGTCCAACTGACTTCGCACACATACTTGTAATGTGTAGAAACTAAATGTTTCGTAGATATCCAACGAATGTTTACTTTGACAGACATATTCACAACAGGGCCTTGCTAGTAGTGGGAACCACATGATGTGCAGCTGCTAAACGCTGTGTAATGTTGTAAGTGTCTAATAACAGTAAAGGGGAGCTGTGTAGCCTGTAGGATGGTTTGCTTTTTCTCTGTTGTTTTCGCGTGAGACGTGCCTAGTAATCGAATATTCTCCGACCCGTTTGGCCGCGCGGCCCGCGATTAGTCTGGGCGGGAGGCGCGGGGTCCGGCCCGGCCCGGTACAGAGGCTCGTAACTGACTGGAAAATTAATTAACACTTTTAACGACTTTGAATCCAATTTCATTGGGAGGATGGGGCGGCAGACGCGCTGCACGGCGGGGCGCTAAGCGGAGCGGCACGTTCGATTGCTGCTGCTGCCCTTTTTTGTTGTTGTTCTTGTTGTTTATGTGTTGTTCTTGTTGTTGCTGGTGGTGGTGCTGCTGCTGCTGACGCTGCCCGCCGGCTATGAGGGGAAAAGAACGAAACTGTGTCGGATGGAGGTTGACGGATCAGTCCCGTGCAGAGGGAAGTGTAGATAGACGCAGATGGATGGGAATAAGTTCACTGCATCGTCCGCCTCCCGTCTTCGCGACAAGATATGAAGAGCGGGCCGGTTGCCCTATGCCTCAACCACGGTTTGCACTCGCAGGCTATATATTTTTTCGGTAAAACTGTGCGCCTCTCCTCTCATCCCCTTCCCCTCTCAAACACACGCTCACACACACAAACACACACACACCGACACTCACGTACGTTTGCTTCCCGGATGTCCGCACCGTAAAGACACAATGTTATCGCCGAGGTCGTGGCAGCGGTGGCGTGGCGCGGCGTTGTGTCTCGGGCAGCGGCATTACCTCGTGTAACCTACTTGTCGGCGACGTATGAAGCTCCCCCATTGGCCCCGCCGTATAAACCGGGCTACCCAACGACCTTGTCCTCCGCCAGGGATGAAATGAAGTCCGAGACCCTTATTGAGACGGTCCGGGGAGGGAGGGAGGGGGGAGGGTAGCAGATGAGAGATGGAGCGAGAGAGATTGGGGATAAAAGGCGGGGGGATAGGGAGGGGGGCGCTGCTGTGGGCTATGCGGCTTGATAGGGTGGGTCGAAAAGAGCTAATATTTAAAACATATTTAATTGCTCACACTAACAGAACCTGTATCTTTAATTCGCACAGATTTAAGCAATCAAACGTTTTTTCACACATTTCTGCCTTAATTTGAACTTTTTTTTCGAAACACACGTATGAACTACCTGCGTTTTAGGTTAAGAGGGTTAAGATGTTGAGTACATGTTATTTCAAGGCCCCTAAAAGTGCCAGAAAATTGTACCTTTGGCCACTAAACCCTCAATGCTTTTGTTTTTTGGCTGAGCGTTAGCGAAGCCTTTGCTGTCATGAGGTGCAGGGAACTCTTTGGTTGTGTGTCTGTCTGTCTATCTGAAATCACACACGTTTCTCAAAGATGGCAACTTCAATTGACTTCAAACTGCGCACGAAGCATCAGTATACATCGGGTCGTATCGAGTTTAGTTTAGAAGTTAAATA